TCCAGAAAAGGTGGTTTTGCCCTCTGACAGCCTGGCTACATACAGAGCAGAGAGGTTCTTCTGTATGTCACTGAGAAAACGGAGCTCTGAGTGGCCTCTCCAGACTGCTCCTCTCCAACTTGGATGAAGCTTTAATATTTTATTTTTTCTCGTTACGTTTTTCAAGCCAGCGGGAAATTCAACATTTTCATTATTTCCACAAGCTTCATGTGCAATTACTGTGCAGACTCTTTGAATCCATAAGATCAAATCAAAGCTATTGCTTTTAACCACCCAAGATAGAAGGACATTGATTGTGATGCATTATTTGTAAATTGCCTGTTAAAGTTTAAAAAGATTTCCACATACTTTGAATAATTCCTAAAATATCTGTTATTGAATTTCCTTAAAGACTGCACTAGCTGGGATTGCTTCAGCTGCAAATAAGGGTTGCCAGAATGTTTTTTCTCTTTTGGTCTCTGATCTATGCAATTTTCGCATCTCTTCCAGAAGGGAGCCAGAGAAAAACACCCAGTGAGCTGTTAGGGCTTGTTTGCCATGTGTTTAGCCTAGCAATCAATTGATACCTTTTGCAGTCTTCTGTGTTTTACTGAATATCTCCCTGCTTAGTGGTTAAGCAAGCTACACTGTTTTGACATATTTTTTGAACTACTCAAATCCTTCATTCTGCAGTGCATGCTCCACATTTTAATCTATGAAATAGGTGTGGCTGCTTCTTTTCTGTATACAAACATTTGCGTTAAGATTGAGTCTGCTGTTGAAGAAGTGTTGATGTAATAGGCAGAATGATGAGTGTTTGCTACCTAAGATTTCCTGCAGAGGTAAACAGTAGGTTTGTGGTGGGCTGGAAATAGAGAAATAGTGCTCAAAGGATCCCAGCCTCACCTGTGCCCAGAAACTGAGGGACATGGTTAGTGGGCATGGGTAATGGGATGGTGGTTGGACTTAATGACCTTGGTGGTCTTTTCCAATCTTAATGAATGTATGGTTCTGTGAATGGAATCGTAACCCAGTGCAGGATCAGTATCTTGCAAGGAGAAAGCTCGAAACATGTCATAAGCAAATAAGCAAACCTGAAGAAAGAAAAGAATGTATCCTATTCCCATCAATGTCAGCAGCTCTGTTTCTGCAACAATATGATCCAAGTGAGCATTGAAAGAACCTGCAATGTAAAATGGTGTCAGAAAGGAGTGGCTGCTAATTCGGTCTGCGAGTTGCACAGGCAGTTAAATGAGAGACTGTGGTTCAGTGCAGTGCCACAGGATGCCTTGAACATGAGCTATAGCTCTGCTAACTCTTCAGCAGTGAAGTTCATAGATGGCCATTGTAAGGAGATTAAAGTTTCAACAACCAAATCCAAGTATGAAGAGCATGTTAATCCCAGCACCTGGACTGGTTGCAGATCTTAAAAGAGGGGCAGGGAAACCTTAGCATAGTATTTGTGATAGAAGAAGAGCAAATGACAGAAAAAGATTTCTCAGTACATCAGATAGCATGCAGGCAGGGAAATATGTGGGATTGTTGTGTGATCTGAAATACTAGATTTATTTCATCAAAAATATGCTTTCCTGAAGAACTGAGTGGAACTGCTTTTAGACGTACTGATAGACAAACAGAAGAAGATTCTTTTTTCTATTTTTCTAAACTCAAAAGAGCATTGCATCCAGTTTTCAGTTCATTTCAGTTTTCTTTGCATCATGTCCAAGAGTAACATATGTGTAATTTCTTTGATATTATTTATCTAGAAAGGTTCTGACTGTACTTATTATTGCCCACTGTACTTCAGAAATGTGGTGTATCTTGTCTATGTGGTATGTATTTGTAGTGTTATTATTACAGTCATGGCTATTTATTGCATGCTCTTATTCTAACTTTAGGTTTGCAAAGTCTCTGATTTCAGCACACATACCAAGCACACCCCAGAAAGTAAGAATGTGGTTTTTGTTGGTCCTTTACAGGCACTGGGGGCCATGGGGTAGTGAGCATGGTGGTGCTGGGTTGACAGTTGGACTAGATGGGCTCAGCAGTCTTTTCCCACCTTCAGGGTTTTATGATTCTACGATGCCTTATTGATCTATATTTTCATTTGCTGAAGTGCACCAGAATGCTTAACTTCATGTCACAATAACATGAAATGCTAAGAGAATTGAAAGATTTCCCTTTTCAGTTATGATTTCTAGCCACTTTAAGACTGAATTAATGCTTTAGTCTATTAATTTCTATGTGTGTGATTGAAGGAAGCTGGCATCGTTGCTAAACTTGCAATGGGAAAATTTTCAAGAGTTCAGTATGTAAAATATGTTGTTACCTTTGTAAACAGAAGATGATGGACACTAAATCTCCAGAATTTTCAGCAAAAGGAAATGTTTTTTGTTTTTCTTTTTCATCTATTTTCATTTCTTAATGGAAGAAGAATTATGGAAATGAGAGCAGGCATTGCATTAAATACTTGAAATGGTCCTTCTCTGCAGACCAATAAAAATATAACTCTTCCAGTAGAGAAATTCCATTTTTTCAAAAGCTGCATGAATCTGAAGCAGTGAATGAGATGACTGTGCTGGGATGAACATTTCAGGTTCTGGTTATGTATTTTAAGTCTTCATTAGATGGATACCAGCTCTTAGCTCATCTTGTAAGCCTTCTTTGGGGCAGCCTTTTTTCTGCTACGCTTGGCTTGTATAGTAGTGCTTCTGTAGTGAATCTCTTGTTATGCAGATCAGTAGCAGAGTTTTAAAGTTAACCAGTCCTGGGGTTTGAATGATTTTTTCTACCTTAATTTGGCCTAGGAGGATTCCTGGCCTTTTCAAAACACTTCATCTACTTGCTTAACTCCATAAAAAAGTCAAATGGTGCAAGTCAAAAACGTGACCTTTCTGTGCTACAGAAGTGTTCATAGTGATTACAGTCCCATCTGTGACTCCAGATTATGTATGTTGTAGCTATTTGTCTTTAAAATATCTTTCATCTATACATGCAAAATGAAAACGTAGTGGTAAACTGCTGTTTCTAGTGGTGTTCAAATTAGGTTCAGTGGTCAGGGCTGCAGAGAATTAATGTCAGAGGAAGCGGGTCTTCAAGTGAAGCCATCTTTTTTACTCTGCCATTAACCATATAATAGTCATCAACATTAATTCCCAGGTGCTTGGTTAGAAGAACCCATAGTGAATTAAAAAAAGAGCAAAATCTTTAGCAATCATTGCTAGCTGTATTTGTCCCTGCTCATTGCAGGGGAGTTGAACCAGATGATCTTGATGAAATTGTCATGAATATTTGTGCACGTGTAGCATTCGTTGGGGTGAGTTTTATAGTTTTATTTTCACTGCTGCAGGGAACTCTTTGCCTCTGCAGAGCAACTGAAGCTCTGGTGCATGATTCCAAAGAGTTCATCCCTGTGCTCCTATTAAGCTTTATATGCAAACAGCCTAATTCTTTTGCCGTGATCCAGAAAACATCTATACAAATATTAATTATATTCCTTATAAATTTGAGAACATGCCTGACCTACATACCCTGTCCTGAATGTTCATTCCTAATGGAAAGATTCTGAAACATTGGGAAGAAAGTGCAGTGTAAGAAGTGCACAGGCACAGAATTTTCATTTCCTTGCTGTTTTTCTTGCTGCTGCACCCCCTCTACTAATCCTCTGGCTTAGCTGATTAATGAGTTTATTCAGCTGCCTGCTTTAGACATTACCAAGAATTGCTGGCAGTGAATTTCTACCTCACACATTAGACTTGTGGCTGATTTAGGTTGGACTCACCCCATGTTAGTGCCCTAGGTGGCTAATAGCCCTTGAAAATCCAGCCATGAGGACTGGGGCTGCCTGGAGGAAACACAGATTCCCAGGTGTCTTGGATGTGTTTGCACACAGAAGGAGCCAGATGGTTTTCACTGTGGGTTTCCTCTGGCTTCGTTCTGTGGGAGAAATACCTGAGTCAGATGGTGCCAGGTAGCTGCATGACTCCAGTGTGTTAACAGCTGCTCTAGATCCTTTCCCAGAGGTGCATTTAAAGCATAAATGTGAAAAATAGGCAGAAATTGGTGCGGTCAAGTGAGGAGTCGAGGGATAGGCTTCATGTCTTGTTGCATTTAGTGGGTTCGGAGGGGATGAGTTGATGGTTGATTTGATGATCTTAGATCTCTTCCAGCCTTAATGTTTCTATGATTCTATCTCCAGACCTGACGGGATGGGTCTGGTCTGAAGCATCCCAGTCTCCATGGTTGTGGTTCTGGATGCTGGATGGCTCATAAATGCTCTGGGACCAAAAGCACTTAGTGCATGTTAGCAAGGTTTTCTCATTCACAGCTCCCTGGGCACAAAAACACATGTCCATACATGTACATAGTGTTGGAGTCATCTGAGGCTATGTGCAGGATTGCAGGTTTGACTCTGAAATGCACTGCTGTAACCAGCCTCCCAAAATACCACAAACTTCAGGTCAGATCTAGCATCATCTGCACATGTTAAGATAGAAAGCTGGGTGGCACATACTGGCAATAAAGCTGACTATTCCTAAAACATGGGTAGTCTTTGGGATGTTTTCTGAGCCAAACAGAGGTGTGGGCTGTGGCTTTATCTTGGACAATAAACATGGCGAAGCAGGGAGATTTGGTGCTTAGGGACATGAATTAGTGAGCAGTATTGGTGGGTAGACAGTTGGACTAGAGGATCTTAGAGATCTTTTACGACCTTAATGATTCCATGATTTCATGATCAGGAACTAACACAAATATAAGGAGTCTCAGAAAACTCCCCTTGCACCAGTATGCTTGTGTGCAGTGTGGAAAACAGTGGGAAAGGAAATTTGCCTGTCTCTGGTCACCTTTGGCTGCCACATTAAGTTAAACTCATTTCTATTCTGAGTTACATCAGTACTGTGCAATGATGAGACAGGCACAGATCAACATAAGGGCAAAAGCAGCTGAACCTGCACCTCACCTCGTCCCTAGCCATGCAGCTGTCCCCATCTCACATACTTGCTCTTGTGGTCTCGTTCCAGGGCAACCCACTATACTTCCAGTCTGCCAGAAATGTTACAGTGAACATCCTCAATGAGAAGACAAAAGTCCTCACTCGCCTAGTAACAGGTAAGGAGGGGGAAAGGCTGCATGGAGTTGTTACAGAGAGATGAAAGCAGGTGTGTTGTGGGATGCTGCACTGGCTTCACACAGCTCGCCAGAGGGGAGCCCAGGTGTCTTAGTTAAGAACAAATGGAAACTTTGCTCTGCTTTGTAGAAACAAAGGTAGAGACATGAAAGCAGTGCTGGAGACAGGCAGCTGGCTGGTGCTGTCTGATAACGAAGCAGACCATCGTTTTCATTTGAAAGCCAATCCAGAGACAGAAAGGTTAGCTGTACAACTCTGGGGTCAAGAAGAACATATGCAGGCTGACATCTCTGTCCTGGCAGGCACAGGATTTTCCTGAGACTCTTTTAGCTTACCTAAGATCTTGGGAACGCTGCTGATTGACTGTGGCTGGTTTTGAACCCTGGGCAATTTATTGCTTTTTATGCCTCTTTCAGATGAAGAACACTGATTCTCCCAAACATTAGTGTGTTTGATGGATAAATGGGTGTTTCATAAGTCCCCAGTGCACAGCAGCCTTTGAATAGATGCATGTGTAGTTTGGGTTAAAAGAGTTTGAAATACTAATATGTATATATGATATAAGATAGACATTTATTTATTGAGATTTATCTAGGGACTGGGAGAAGTATTGCTGCATGGCAGAGCCAGTAATCCATAAACATGCTGTTTCTGCATGAGGCTGAGTTGTTTGGTTTGCTTAAATAACAGTTTGGCTTCTAGTCACAGTATTAAATAATTAAATATGCCACTTCAGAAAGCAGTGGTTTATGTGTCATGCATGAAAACTGCCTGGAGGAAGGGAATAAATTCAACCCCAAACTCACAGATTCTCACGTTCAGAACTTGTTTAGTTTGTTGGTTCTGCATATACTTACAAGAGGGAATGTGGTTCCCCTAAGCACCTCCTTTTCAGGAGAATTTGGAAGGACGCAGTCAGTGTGATGTCCCTGTTGTGATGTCCTGCACTGAGAGCACTTCTACACTTGGAACAGCTTTGGTTCACAAGTGGAGGGAAAATGTGGTCCCACATAGCATGTGCTGCATTGATGAATATGGAGGCAGTTAATTAGTGAGATATAAATCAAATTTAAAACTCAAAAGTATTTTATTTTCTCAGGATGGCTGCAGGTTCTTCAAGTGTTTCTGCAGACTCGGATATACAAGGGTCTCCCTTTTCTGTAGTCCAGACGCTGCATATGAGTCTGTGTGCTGTGATGCTAACATAGGCAAACACTGGGTACAGGTGAGGGTTAGAAACTGCCTTTAAGAAAGTACTCACTTTGGGGAAATGAGACTCATCAGGAAGGTGGCAGGACTAAAGCTAAGTGCTGTCACTTTCTTGCATAGTAGCACGTTGCAGGGAGGCTGGGATCTGTTCTGGGCTGTGTGCAGCCGTAAGATGGCAATTTGTGTGAAGCTTAGCTGAGGTCAGGTAACAGAGGGTCTGCTCTTTGTAGTGTTTGAGCTACAGATCTGCACAGAATTGCTGTTTGGGCAGCTGATGTTTATCAGGTTCCACAACAGCACACTTTGCCTAGAGGCTCTCAGCACTGCACCTTGCAGCAGCCTGCAGGAGAAGCAGTGAAATTAAAATAAGAGCTCAGAGGGAAAGTTTTGCTCGTCTAAAAACTTTCTGAGATGTGGGAGACCATGCTGTTCGTTCAGCCTACACATGGCTCAGTTCCATTCCCTTCGTGGCTCATTCTTCTGCAGGGCCAGGAGGGCAATGGTGCCAGGGTTGATCACACTGGGAGGGTGGGACCAAGCTTAAACTGCAGCTTTAAAGCAAAGCACTCTTATAGTTTTGCTTCTGGCTGTTGTTTCGTGTTTTGTGTTATGCTTGGTTTTTTTCATTGGACTATGCATGACAGCAGTATCATATTTAACAGGCATGAAAGCAAGAATCTGTTACAGTGCAGCACCGATCCAAGAGAGGTGAACCACTGCTCTCCAAGTATAGCTGGGTGCAATCACTGTTATTTGTGTTTCTGTCTTCTGGTAGAAATTTCCCAGCCATGCCAAGCTTAATGGCAATTTATGGCATACATAAGCATTAAACAACATCATAAGTAGAAACAGTTGAAGGTTATTTGGGTACCCTTTCCTATGGAGTGGCCACCCTCTATAAAGCACAGGCATTGCTTCTTGTTGTATCGGATGCAGGTTGTGTCTGCAGAGCTATTAGAGTCATCTCAGCAAATGGGGTTATTAAATGTATGGAGACTGCTACTTGGTTTTCTTCCACTTTCACTCAAAGCTTATACTAAGTCTCTTCTCTCTAGGTCCCCAAGCAGTGGAAGCACACAGCCAAAAATTTGAGGTGAAAACCCTCTCTGGAAAATTGCTGTTTTCTGCAGATGACAACGAAGTGGTAGTTGGAGCAGAGAGATTGAGAGTTTTAGGTAAGAGATTACTCACTAAATCACTTTTTTAATATATACCTCTTCAAATTTTGGAATCGTTTTGCCTGACTTTCCTTCATGTTTGTGGAAGGCTTCTATTGGATACAAGCTGTTCACTGTCTTTATTGCTTTGAATCTTTCCCAGACACATTAGGGCCAGGAGTTTCTATCTGAGGAGTTTCTTAACTTGCACAGCATATAGACCAGCTTTGGAAAGTAGATGACTTTATCTCTTGGGCCTGGGACAGTGTGGGTTCACTGTACCAATGCTTCCATGGCTGCAACCAGTATCTCTGTGAAGAGGGAATGTTTTGTATTTTTAATCTCCCGCTCATCAGCAGCTTCTCCTTCATCCTAAAGCAAACAGTAAGGAGGAGACCTGTGGCAGAAAAGTCAATATGAGTTAAGATCCTGTATGCATTGTATACATTATCTGAATACTTTGCTGCCCTCCATATTGCTTAAGCTTTTCTTACCCAGATGTAAGACCATGTTGGTTGTTCATCTCTGAGCCACCTCCAGCTATGCTCAGGGATATGCTTAAATGTCTCCTGCATGGGAGGAGAAACCTGTGTTATCAGTGCTACAGCCTCCTTACTTCTCTAGTAAGTTCCTGAAAACAGAAGGATCAATGAAGGAGATTAGAATGATATATAGTATTTTTAATTATTGTTATTTACTCCGTATTAGATGGTGTATTGTTAGTTAATCAGAGAATCACTTGAGTTGGGATGGCCCTTTGAGGTTCATCTAGTCCAATTCCCCTGTACTGAACCCTATGTATACAGAAAGGAGCTTAAAATGAGGGCTGCAGAGTCTGGGTATCATGAATAAAATGTCATATCCAACCCTTATTTTTTCACTGGTTGGTGTTGTGCTGTTCCAGATGGTTTCCTGTTTCTAGAAAGGGCAGCTGTAGCCCTTTCAAATTCCAAGTCACTGTTGGTACACAGTGGGCCGGTTTAGCCATTAGTTATACCTGAGTTAGCTGAGCTTCATGGGATAAAGGTTGAAAAAATTTGCAGCATCTTTTTCAGTAGAAAACTTTGAAAAAGATCATTCCAAATTTATGTGGTGTTGTTTCAGAGCTGGGGAGTGTTTGTCACAGTGCACGTGTACCAAAAATCCCCTTCACACGGCGCCCTTCTGAACTCCCAAATCATGCAGTCTTTGTGCAGGGCAGATGAATTCAGAGCAATGATCTGAAACGAGAAAGACTTATGTCATTGGTTCTTTGAAAAAATGCAAAACTTTTGTTTACAAGTCACAAGTACTCCTTTCCAGATTACGTACCTGTAAAAACATTGCTTTTATTTGCTTTCTGCTCTGGAGAAAGCAGCAATTATTTTTGATAGTTATTTTGAGTTCCTGCCTTGTTTTAGTCTCCAGAATAAACAGCATCAGAAGTATTACTAACCGCTGTAGTGCACTTTCATTTTTATTATTTTCAACTGTGTTTCTCAGGGTTTATTTGGCATTGCAGAGCAATCAGAAAAGAAAAGGTAGAATGCTATCACAGATGATGTTACACAGCAAATATTTCAACGACCTTGAGCTGAAATGCTTTCAGAGTTCATGCTTGGCTTTGTTTTTCTCCAGTTTTGCTTCCCCAATCTAATTATATCTCCAAAAGTGGTTGCCATGGCTGTTTGCCATGCTGGGAAGTGTTATACCATATGTTCATATTTCTTCCAGTGCTTTTGTCTGTACTTGAGGCTAGTCCAACTTGTAGTACACAGACAAATTCCTTAGATCATTTCTCTGGTGTTTGGGATCTCAGGTGCTGCTGGTACGTGTCTGCTGACACCTATCTACACTATGTAAATAATCTCAACTTGTTCTTGTTATGGCTGAACACGTACTTGTTACAGAGGGAAGCGTGTGTCTGCAATCTGGCATGAAAGTCATCTTGCAGAGGTTAGAGCATCAGTTATTGGACCTGTGGCTAGCTTTTAATCTTGTTAACAATAATTACTGTTTTCTTTGTGTGCTCTTCAAAGTGGATTCTGAAAGTTTGTTCTACAAAGTAATGCTGAAGCTTGACATAACAGAAGAGGAGCTTTGTTTTTTTGAAATGGACTCTGCACTGAGTAGCTAAAGGGTTTTTCATCATTAACAAGGCATCGAAAAAGGGAGGAATATACAGCATTTAGATAACAAGCAGATACGAGTAGGACATATGTTGCATTTGATGAGGCTTCAAAAATTGCACAGTGTGGATGCAAATAACCAAATGAAAGTGCCTTTTATTTCTGGTTGGGTTTTGTTGTTGTTTGTTGTTGTTGTTTGTTTTTTTGGGGGAAGGGGCAGGCAGGAAGGTGTTATTTCTGATTTTTAACCACTAAACGATACAGAAAGAGCTGATTCTCTTTGTGTGCATGATGCAGGTGGAACTACTTCAGTGATTGTATTTGGTTTAGTGGATCCCTTCAAATTTGCCATCATAGGTGAGACTGGAAGATAATGGGAACTTCTGTTTGAGGACAGGGACATCTCTGAGCCCTACCGCTGTGGTCAGCTCTTATGACATCTACATGAGCTCTTCCAGAACCAGCACAAGGTCCCATTGCTCTGCTCAAAGCCCAGCAGCTGCCTTGGCCCAGCTGACTCAGAAGGAGCTCATGATTGCCCGTAAAAAGTCATGTGGAAACTGAATCTTCTGCCAAATCTGGCCTGCCCTTTTTCTTCTAAGCTCATCTGTGGGTTCATGCGATTGCCCAGCCGTCACCTCCACTCTTGTCAGGGGAGAGGATGGCAACACATGATCACTTCTAGCACCACCTGCTTTTACAGTCCTCCATCCAGCAGAATTTGAGCACGTCACCATTTTTAAATGATACTACAATAGAACTCAGAGCATTCCTCATCTCTCTGAACCACAACTCTTTGTTTGCTTTTGCAGCGTTGAGATCTTGAAGGCAGAATCTGCTGCCACTCTTCCCCTGGGATAGCCCTGGTGGTGCCTGCTTTGGCAAGGAACAAGTAGACACAAACTCATGCCTTAGTCAGTATCCCCTGTGGGCTCATAAACCCATATGGTCTGCACTGTGGGAGATGAATGAGCTGCTTCTAATTGAATTTCTCTGTGGTTTGTCATACAGCGGTTCCCTTTCCCGCCTCCTCCCCCCATAAGAATTGAAACATGTTCAGATGGATTGAAAAATGGTTCAGAAATACTTCTTTAACCAAAGAGCATTAAAATTAACTTTAATATTTATTAATTACTAATTTTATTTAATAAGCATGTTGAATATTACTGCATTTATAAACAAAGGGCAATCATAAAGCATTATTCTGACTGTTAATTAGCTCTATTTATTCTCCAGATTAGTTTTTAAATATGCCCTCTAGATGCCACTTGATACTAATTAACAGGGTTACATTATTATCTCTATACAAAAGCATTTTTAATTAAATCTAAAGCAATTTAAATTAGCACGAGTTTTTACAGAAATTAAAATCTGGTCAGATGCTTAATTTAGCCTTATGAGACAACATCTGATGGCATGCCAGTGTTGGTTCTCCCAAGGGCCATGACATCTTTTTTGGAGATTATTTCTTGAAGTTTGTTTTCAGGGAAACTTGCCAGTATACTCTGCTGTTTAATATTTATGATGGATTTATAAACCTTTTTTTTTCTTTTTTTTCTTTTTGGCTAAGCTTCGTAGGGAATCCACATGCATTGCAATGAGCTGAGCTAAAAACAGCAAAGATGCGTTCCTGCAGGCTGCCTTATTCACATCAACCACACTTTTTAACCATTCTTAAGATGATCTTTCTTCCTTGTGATAAGGGTAGGAACAATCACAAAACCACAAGATCCCTTACCTCCAACAGATGAAGGCAAGGATTGCTCCCCGAATGATTCCCACACTGGGTGCTTGGTAAATGTGATTCTCACTAAATTTTTTCTTGTAAAATCATGCAGTAATAACAGTTTGGTTATGTGGAAAACCCCAACTTGAGGAGGGTACTTTTTGTCCCCCAGTGTAAGGACTGCAGGAGCTCCTCCACAAATATGTGACCCACTTGCCCCACACATTGCAGCCCTCTCCAGTACCATGTCTGGCTACAAGGCGCCTTTGATCTTGGAACCATAGAGCTTGCCAACACCTTTCATGCCCTCCCTTCAAGTAACCAACCAGTAGCTGCACCTTTTATTCATAAGCACTGAGTTTTAGTACTCATGGAAGGATTTTTTTAAAAAGCATTTGCAGCACTTTTGCTTTAAATGGGAGAAAAAACAGCACTTAATATGAGTGTGGTGAACTGATTTGTCTGTGCAAACTTGCCCAGCTGTCTCAAAAGCTTCACGTACACAAACATCTATAGAAAGCCTTGAATTAGCTTGAAGGGAGGAAAAGAGGAATCCTGCAGAACTGCTGTTGGAAGACCAGCCTGGTTAGAGAACTCTGTTCACATTTGCTCAATATTACAATTTTTGTAGCTTTGTGGTATATTCTTTCCAGCTAATGTTTGCTGCAATATTTACAGCAGAGTAACTCTAATGAGTTCAAGAGTAGTTCATGAAAATCATGAAAAAAGTATTTCATGAAAATAATCTGCAAAGCCATTTGACTGGTTCCAGTCATTTTAGAGTGTGGTGTAAGCTAGAAATATAACAACTCACCACCCATTTTTGCTTCCTGCACCCTTCTTCCAAAGCGATTATTTATGGGTCAGAACATGCACAGTGCCCTTTACAGCAGCCATTATGATTACAAAATGGTATTTTGCTGATTTGTTTATGGCAGACTGAGTAACTGTTGTAGCCAAGTGTTGAAATCTGAACAGAGCCAAAGAGGAAATAGAGCTTTCTGGCCTCACCAGTGTGTCTGCTGCAACTCCGTGCCTGGAGATAGATGGCAAGCTTCAATCTTTGTGTCTAGATCTTCTACATTTTCCCGAAAAAAGGTATCCTTTCTATAGGTCTGTAGGTAGTTTCTTCAAGGGAGAAATGTTGCTACAATACTCATTTCTAGCAAATATTAGTATTTTTT